TCCTTCACACTTGATGATGGATGCGATGTATGTTTGGTCTGCGTTCAAACATTGATTGGGCTAGTCATTAGCATTCTAGCATTCTGCTTCGCTATCTTTTGCTACGTGAATGAGGTGAGTCCCGGTCAGGTCAGGACTTCTATCTAAATCTTCCACTGCGCTATTCAGACACCATTTTGTATGTATGAGAATGCACATTGCTCGTTGAGATTCTACTTGCACTGCATTGTCCATTCAGTCCTTTTTATCACATTGCGGATCCTCGGTTATGATGTACATCGCTCATCTGAGCATGTAACACTGCCATATCTGCATCGGAGAGCTGCAAGTTGCTACTTTGGTCTTCAGACATCGACGGGGGATCCGACGTTGTAACAAGGGTGTAGGGAGGCCCTCTTAGTCATGCTAGGACACTTCGTGTAGTGGTAGCTAGGGGTCAGGAGGACCTATGAGAGAGGGGGGTGAGTCGTTATCCATCTTTGGAGGCCGGGCCTCACAGGTAAGTGTCGTGTGACCTGGTTATGCCCGTGGGAGGTTGCTTGGTGCTTCATGGCCTGTTGGGGTGTGCTGGGCTCTCTTCCTCTTCTCTGCGGTCTTGGTTGTGTGTGTGAGCATGTAGATTGCTTTCTCACCTGATGGATGGATGGATGATGTATCTTGTTCTCAATGACATATCTTTCTACAGTGCATTGTCTTTTCATTTCTGAACGGTTGTAGGGGTAAGTTCTTGTTGAAAGTTGTCTTTGCCTTTTCAGTATGGTAGAGGCAGTTTGGGACTGACTTGGTACACCTATCTCGTTGGTCCCAGTCCACGACCTACTTGGGACCTTCGGGACCTAGTGGGACCAGGCCCAACGGGACAGGACCTTAAGGGCCCAAATCTGTTGCCGTCAATGCATCTCTTTGCTATGCTGAATTTGGGGGACATACGGCTAGCAAGGGCATTCCTTTCAAGGGGATCTTGACTGGTCTTACTGCATGTTCTCACATGCTGCCCCGCGTCTGGCTCGGCGACCGTCTGCACCCCTCGAAATCTCCATTGCTGCAGTTAGTTTTCTTCGGCTGATTTATTGTGGTACATGTACCTTGTCAGGTTAGACAAGAGGGGATCTCCAACTAATCTGATCGGGCCCGTTCGATAAGTCAGTCCTCTCTTGTGAATGCCATTCTCTAAGTCCAAATGAATTGCCGCTCCGGCTAGGAGTTCTACCTTCTACTCTTTGTGATTTACTATTTGTTTCTTTTGTCTGAACTATCTATGTCCGGTATTGAGACGCGTGCGCAGTACAGCGGTCCCGTAGTGGACAAGCGGGCGGCCACTCTGCCGTCCAAATACGACGGGAAAGGGGATATCACCTCTTGGATTAGCTTCATGCGCTCATACTTCGAGGTACTACGAACACCGCAGGAAGACCGAACCATGATCATGGGCACTAATACTGAGCCCGTCGTACGGAGTTTCATAGAACTCCAAGCTGTTACAGCAGATTATGAGAGGATTGACCTGACCGAGTGGTTGAAAGTGACTCCTGTACGTACTCTTGAGGACCTCCTCATCACGCAGTATCAGGATAAGCACGCTGCGCTCAAGGCAAGGCTGAAGCTTGAGGCCTTCAAGGGCCAAACGTGGAGGACTTCCATGCAGGCTTTGGAGTAGCACTTGACTGGACTGTTCACCACTCCAAACCTGGGATGGACTGACGTGTCTTGCATGGATGTAGTCATGGGAGTGGCCCCTAAAGAATATGTCTCTTGGCTAGGACTCAAAGACCATACGACTTGGCGAGAGCTACTGACGGATCTAGTCAACCTAGAAGCCAAGGAACTCGCCAGGCGTGTAAAGGCACCCGCTGCAGGTAGAACCTCGCAACGCAAGCGGTACGGAAGCAGCAACCAGCTTGCCCTGCATGAGTATCGGGAGGCTTAAGATCAGTCCTATGCGGATGATCTGCCTCTGGATGATGATCTAGAGCCGGACTCCGACGTGGGCTGTTCTACATCAGCCCTTGAGTCTGACGTGAATACTGAAGAAAAATGTAATGCCTTTAAAAAGACTGCTTCAAGCAAGGGGCCTATCCGTAGTTCGGGTAAGGAAACTATAGCACACCTCCCCAAGAATGCAAAGATCCCTGAGAAACCAGAGGATGCTTCTACCAAACCTTGGGAAGCCCTCTGCATCAGTCAAAAGGAATGGGAAAGAAGATCCAAATTGCGCGTGTGCTTGCATTGTCAAAAGCCTGGGCATGCTGTGCAAGACTGTTATCGTCTGCAGGGAAACAGGCAAAGGGCGTATAAGAGTCATCAACACTCTCTACAACAAGGGAAGTTGAACAGTCAGTTGCAAGCCCCTCCAAGGAGCCTGAATCTGATCAACAGCTTGCTCTTGAAGCCCGAACGGATGCTGAATCCAAGGTTGGTGCAGTCCAAGTACTTTACACTGAGCCTTGGGAAGAGACCAAGAAAGTTGACTTCCACTCTCACCTAGAACATTGGCTGCAACTCAAGTAGCAACGCTGTGTTCAAGGGAGTGTGGAGCTGACCTTCTTTAAGTTATTCATTAACCGCCGATACATCCGTGTGCTGATTGATAGTGACTCAACGACCAACTTCTTTTCTCCTAACGGGATTCGTAAGGCGGGCCTGGGAATGAACCAAGTGGAATTGCGGAACCCTTGTCAGACCCAGGCAGGCAACCAAGAGGTTGTCACCTCAACACATGTTGTCAAAGGAGTGCGTGTCACTTTTGACAAGGATCGCACTGTCACACATAAGCTGAACTTTTATGTCATGGACAAGTGTCCTTTCGACGCAGTCATTGGCTTGGGCTGGTTAAAGGCTCATTGCCTAAGGACTACGTAGGCGGATAATCAGTTCGTGGTGCGTGATGCCAAGGGGAACGAGCATACCGTTCTATTGGACGAGACGTGCGAGTCCCCTGTGACTCTTTTGAGTGCAAACAAATTCTGCAAATCAGTGTGCAGGCGCAAGGAAGCTGAGCATGTGCATGTAGCTCTTGTAAAGCCTCTCCATGTGCCTTCTACTTTTGCTGCATTTTCTTCCTCGGAAAGTAATTCTACTTCTACTACCTCTACTTATGTTTCATCTACTTCCACTGTAAAAAATCAGTCTACTTCTGATCCAAGTACTTCGCGTTCAGTTGTAATTGCTGTAAATTCTCAATCTGATTTTCTCTCTCCTGATGAGGATGATCCTCCACCGAAAGTCCCAACAAACATTCGCCGTCTATTAGATCGATTTCCTGAAGTTCTGGCTGAACCTCGTGGAGTTCCTGAGCGTCCGGTTAAACACAAAATCGAGATAATAGAAGGGAGTGTTCCTCCAAAGGCATGCATTTACCGTATGGGACAAAGCGACTTGGAGGAGTTGAGGAGACAAATTGATGATATGATCGATCGTGGATGGATTAGGCCGAGTGAGTCTGAGTTCGGTGCACCTGTCTTGTTTGTGCCGAAGAAGAGGCAAACTCCGAATGTGTATTGACTATCGTGGCCTAAATCGGATCACCAAAAAGAATGCTTATCCTTTGTCTCGCATAGATGCGGCAGGTGGATGCAAAGTCTGCTCCAAGATCGACCTCAAATCTGGCTACCACCAGATTGAAGTTGATCCGAGCGACCAGCACAAAACTGCATTCAAGACACGTGATGGGTTGTACGAATTCATCGTTATGCCCTTCGGTCTTACGAATGCACCAGCCACATTTCAGTGCCTCATGGACAAGGTTCTTCGCCATCAGCTCAACAGGTTTGTTGTTGTTTACCTCGACGACATCCTGATTTTCAGCAAGTCCATGGAAGAGCACGTCAGGCACCTTGAGGAGGTTTTGCAAGTCCTCAAGGAGGCACAACTGCACCTCAACTTAGAGAAATCTGAGTTTTGGAAGATACAACGTCATCTATCTTGGGCACTGGTTGTCTGCAAACGGCCTTGAGCCGGAGGCAACCAAGGTTGAGGTCATACGAAAGTGGCCTCAACCGGCAAACGTACGCGAACTGCGTTCTTTTCTTGGTTTGGCCTCGTATTATCGAAAGTTTGTACCCAAATTTTCTGTCATTGCTCACCCACTCTCGAGACTAACAAGTAAGAATGTTGCCTATGCGTGGTGTGAAAAATGTGAGACTGCGTTCCAAGCCTTGAAAGAGGCTTTGGTAAGTCATCTTGTGCTCCGCATTGCGGATCCCAACCTCACGTTTGCAGTCACTACGGACGCGAGCCAGTATGGGATTGCTGCAATGCTGCAACAAGATGATGGCGATGGCCTGCGTCCGCTCGAATATTACAGCAAACGCATGCCCAACCACAAGGTAGTTACCTCCACGTATATGCATGAGCTCTACGCCTTGCGCAAGGCGCTCACACATTGGAAGCACTACCTCTTGGGTCGTCACTTCAAGGTGTACTCAGATCATCAGACCTTGCAGTGGATTAAGACAAACTGATCTCTCTCCGACGCTGACCCGACTGGCTGCATGACATTGATGTTTACAACTTGGAACTGAAACACAAGAAAGGCTGTTATAACCGTGTTGTTGATGCTTTATCGCGCCATCCTGAGTTTTTGACTTGCCTTGTGGACTCATATGACCTCCGAAGGAAACTGAAGGAGGAACTGGTCGAACACACTGCCAAGGATCCGGACCTTAGTCCCATCCTTGAGCAGCTCAAGGCTGACCCTAGCAGTCAGCTCGATTTTCACGAGTGCGAGGGTCTTGTATTCCGCCAGTATGGGAAGTTTGATCGTTTATGTGTACCCAACCATGCGCCTCTCCGGACTCATTTCTTAGATTTGGCACATGGTCGGAGTGGACACTTCGACTTTGAGAAGACTTATGGAAGTCTTTTGCAACAGTTTGATTGGTCGGGAATGAAGGGATCTGCTCATAAATTTATTTCTGAATGTCAAGTCTGTCAAAGAACCAAGGTCCATAGGCATAAGCCGTATGGCCTGCTGAAACCCCTCCCAATTCCTAATGGGCCGATGAGTCAGTCTCTATCGATTTCACGGACATGGGGAAGGTGAGCGAGGAAGGACATTCACAAGTCATGGTCATTGTGGATCGTTTTTCCAAATTTCTGAATTTGATTCCTCTACCTCCTCATGCACCAACTGACCTAGTGATTGAAGAATTTCACCAGCAGTACATTCTGCAGTATGGACCCCCGAAAACTCTTGTGAGTGATCGGGACACCAGGTTCATTAGTGCAGATTGGAAGGGCTTCACTTCACAGATCTATGACATTAAACTCAACAAGACTTCTGGTCGACAACCCGAATCCAACGGACTGGCCGAGGAAATCAACCAGACTATCATTCAACTACTTCGCGCATTAATTGTTTCAAATCAGAACACGTGGGACAAGGAGTTACACAAAGTGAAAGGGTTGTACAATAACTCCATTCACTCTGCAACTGGCGTGACATCGAATCAACTTCAATATGGTTGGCTGTTGCGCAATCCTCTCTCCTATTTGTTCCCCGAACGATCCCCTGCTCTGACGCCCGGCATGCCTGGCTACAATGCCAAGTACGCACGCCTGCTCAAAGCTGCTATCGCAGCAATAAACAAGCGTCAGCATGCCATGATCAAATATGCTAACAAGTCGCGCAAAGAAGCGAACTTCAAAGTAGGGAGTTATGTCTGGGTCAAAATGTCTGAGTTTTCTGACGAAGAGGGTGTATCACGAAAGCTTCTTCCATTGTACTATGGCCCTTGGCAGGTTCTTAAGGTGATTGGCGATGAATTTGGTCCTTCGTATGTGATTGACGTGCCTCCTCATTTGCGCACATATCTGGTCTTTCACGCGTCCAAACTGTTTCCACACATCGATGATGAGACTTTTCCTTTCCGAGATCCTATGATACCTCGTCCTATCGACGGCGGCCATGAGATAGACAGAATCGTTTCCCATGAAGGCAGTCCGAGGAACAAACAGTATAAGGTTCACTTCCTCTATCACCCGTTGAACGAGTTTTTCTGGATCGACCGGAAAGAGCTGCTAAAGAATGCTCCACGAGTGGTTAACGCCTATGAACGACAGATCGCTAATGGACAGACTGCTAGGTTTTCTGCAAAACTCACTCCTCACGGTCTTACTAAATCCCTCTTCCTGATTTACGCCTACGATGCATTTTGTGCCGACTCTGAATGAGTTACTCGCTCGAAGGGACCTCGCTCTCAAGACGGGGTTAGTGTAATGACCCGCCAAAAACACAGACTGAGAACACTGCTGATTTCTGGGATTTGCCGCTGGAATGAATGCCTTGCTGAGATTCCCGCGTTCTGCTGTGATTTCCATGTCTGTGTGTGTGTGCGTGCCTGTCTGAGTGCTTGTCGGCTGAGTGTGTGTGTTACCCGCAAGGGTACTTGTTGGTTGAAAGGCCCCGCAGGGCCGGTACTTACCTGTGGCCGTGACTTTGAGGGTTGCAGCGGGGAAAACACTCGAGTAGTGGGGGTAGGCCCACGACACTTAGAGCAGAGTGGAAAAACACTCAAGTAGCAGGTAGGCCGGTACCACTCAAGTAGTAGTAGAAGTGTCGGGTACTGGAGGCCGAGCAGAAGGAGATAAAAAGTTGGCATTTTTAAAGGCCAGTAGCTAGAGGTAGGCTGGTACCAGTCCAAGTAGCCCGGGTCTAGGGCCTGTCCAGACGATAGCAGAGCATGCAATGATGTTTCCCTCCGAAAGGGAAGATGTACCGATTGCTGGGAGGCCGCTCGGTCTAGGAAGTCACCGCCCAAGAGGCCAGTAGGCCGCTATATCTTCCGGAGGAGCAAGTAGTTCCTCCTCATTTGCGGTATGCAAGGATTGGCGACATGCTGCTGGAGCACAGCACTGGACTGGTACAGCGCTGCCTGGAGGTGAAGGGCAGCTGGCGCTCAGCCTGGCTATGGCAAGCAGCACAGCCTGAGGAGGAGGAGGAAGGGGGCGAAGGAGGAGAGTGGCGAGGCACCTACCTGGCTATGGTGGACACCATCTTCATCACCTTATTCGGCGCTGCATCTGGAAGGCCCCAGTTGGGGTAGTGCCGCACCAAGGAAGCTCGAGGCAGAGTCAGGTATGGAGGTTTAGTCAGCAGCGGCATAGCTGCTTTGGGTTGTCCTTTGGACAGGAGTGCAGCGTCATAGCTGTTTTGGGTTGTCCTTTGGACAGGAGGGAAGCCATAGCTATGGTGGACTTGTTGTTGTTGTTGTTGTTGTTGAGTCAGCGGTAAGAGGGAACTTCGGATATTGATTCTGGTTCATCCACTCATTGTTATTATTATTACAAGTAACAGGCGCGCTGCGGCGATGCCGCGGCAGGCGGGGTGCTGGCATGTG